TCCTTTTTCAAAGTAGAATATCTAGGTACGTATAAATTATTTCAACTTGATAGAGGCGCTGTTGCCAATATGTGAATTAGAAACAAATCCCTTTAAAAATTAAAACCCAACATTTGAAACATCAATTTGAATACTTTTCAAAATGAATTTGAAAAACTCATGAATTAAACTCAACTTCATTTTGTTCAAACTTGCATTTGCTGTAATAACCCGTATTGAGGAACATTCCCCATTATTGGGATCAATATTTTCAGCTTTTGCAAGAATGTTTACGGTACTCCGATTCTTGCTTTTTGAGGTAAAATCTACCTGAGAGGGTAATATGTATGCTATTTTGGTTCATCAAGTTAGGTATGGTGAACTTATTGAAAGTTTTGCTTCTTTATTTTTTGGGTGTTTCAAAAGCACTATTCACAAAAACTCATTACTTCTTGTAGTCTATTCCTACTGTCTGTTCCAGGAAAACCCTCATACACCCACTGCAAACCACCAAAAGAGTCCAAACCATGCGAACATTTGCCCCACAGAGACAAAGTTCCTACTTTGGAAGAAATTGCAAAAGTTGAAAATCAACAAAAGGAAGAAAAAAATTTTGTCCATGACAACATCCAGAATATCACTAAAATGAAAGCCAAAGAACCAGTTCCCAAAGTAGTCGTAGATAGAGTTGGTACTAGCAAACCGCTTAAACCTAGTTTAGAACCAGTTTACATCAAATTGCCGAGATTTGGTAGAACACCGAAATATTTGGTGAGGTTCATCCAGGCGAAAGAGAAAGAGTACCAAATGAAAAAGGATGCATCCGGTGTTCAGCAACCGTTATGCAAATATATTACCAGAGATGAACGGGAGAAACTTCTAAACGTAAGTAGAAGACAGCTTAATGAACTACATTTCAAGATAAAAATATAATACCAAAAGTTTTTCTAATCTCGAACATATAGTTATTAGTAATTAATTAGTAATTATAACAATAATTTTCATCGTGAGAGTGATCATCCTATCAATTATTATTTAGCAACAATACAGTGCCTTTCTTTAATGCCCCCCTTTTATTTTTTGAACGGGTCAACTAAAAAAATTGAAATTTGGGATAATGAAATTAATACATGAATACCTACTTTATTTTGAAGTGAAATTGATAGATGAAAATTTAAAGATGGCGTCTGGGCGCCATCTGGGGAAAATATTAAAAGGAAAGGGGGGGGTCTTGTGATACATTTTTTTAAAGCTCCTGACGAATGCTTCACAATCCTAAAATATAATGTCAATATCTTCAACTACTACAAAATGGCGGAACTTTTAATAATTGCCTGAATACATTGACATTTGACTACATAATGTGAGGTAATAAGCTTGAGGTCAGTTCAGAAGATGCTCGAAATGGTTGCCTTGAACTTCTTGACATATGAACAGCCTATCCGATATTTCACGCCGAACATTTTCGAACATTTATTATTTTCTGCCGTATATCCAATATTGAAGCAGGTTCACTTTGGTACACCTTTTGTTTCAAATAGCCCAATGAAAAAATTCCAAAGGTGTCCAATCCGGCGAGCGACCTGGTCATTCTGTAGGATCTCGACGGCCAATCCAACGACCGGGAAAAGTAGTATCCAAATAGTTTCTTACTTGTCTGGAGTAATGTGGTGGTGCTCCATCTTGTTGGAATTCAATATCCATATCGAATTCATTTGGATTCGCTTCGACGATTTCAGTGATGAGAGGGTCAAAAGTAGTCTCCAGTATTTCACAAGTTCGGACTTCCTGATACTATATAAAATGATTTGAAATCATAATATCAGACAATGGAAGTCCGAACTAGTGAAATTCATCATGAAGCATTGTCAATCACCTTCAAACATATTCAAATACAGTTCCCCTGTTAAATTTTGATCAATAAATAGAGGTACCTCAATATGGTTTCCCAATATTCCTGCCCAAACGTTAATTTTTTCTGGATATTGGGTATGTGTTTCCCGGAAAACGTGAGGGTTGNAAGCGATGTTGAGAACACGATAATATCATCTAGGTAAACTAGACAAATTTTGTTAACGTAATCTCTGAGGATGTTATCCATACAGCGCTGAAACGTCGCTGGACTGTTCTTGAGGCCCATTGGCATCCTCAGGTGCTCGTAGTGACCTCCTTCAACATTGAAGGCTGTCTTCTCAATGTCAGAGGGATTCATTTGAATCTGGTGAAAGCCAGATGCCAAATCAAGTGTTGTGAAGTACATAGACTTGCCTAGTTTATCCAAAACATCTGTGATGTTAGGAATTGGATACTTGTCATCGATCGTCTTCTCATTGAGTTTACGATAATCGATGACTATTCGCCATTTTTTCTTCCCAGACGCATCTTCCTTTTTGGGCACTATCCAAATAGGAGACGACCAAGGGGACTTGCTGGGTCGTATTATATTCTGGTCCAACATTTTACGAATTTGGGATTGAACTTCCTGTTTATGAATGAAAGGATAACGGTATGACTTCGTATAAACCGGAATTTCATCCTTAGTTTTTATTTCGTGTTTTATTTCAGTTGTCGCAGTTAATGGTTCACCTTCTCTGTAGAAGATGTCTGAAAATTGTCTACACAGTGTTAGTAATTGACGTTTCTCTTCAGAATTAAGGTGGTCTGTCCGTATTATATTTTGAATGTCACATTTAGGTACACCCTGTAAGTTTTCAGAGAAGTGAATTTCAAAGTTATTTTTCCAGTCATGTTCGCTTAGAAATCATTAAATGTTCCGCCATTTTGTAGTAGGTGAAGATATTGACATCATATTTTAGGGTTGTGAAGTATTCGTCGGGAGTTTCAAAATGATGTGTCACAAGACCCCCAGATAGCGCCCAGTCGCCATCTTGAAAGTTTCATCTTTCAATTTTACTTCAAAATAAAGTATTCATGCAATAAATTCATTATCCCAAATTTCAATTTTTTATTTGACCCGTTCAAAAAATAAAAGGGAGGGGGCACTGTATATTGTACGAGTGTACAACTAGCAATGAAACACACGGTATTCGTTCGTATCGAAAAAATAATAAAATATGGCTCTCGATCGTGTTCTGTACTCTCTCCGCTCGCCACGGTTTTGTTTTCACTGTTTTTACCAAAACCTCTCGCTCTGCAACCTCTTACCAAAAAGTACGGTCCAAGTACGGTAAGAGATTTGAAGATCGACACCTAAGAAAAACCTGCCATGAGAGACGTGAAAATCCAGGTAGCGCCCTTTCACACGGGGAGTTTCACGACTCTCGATTCCGAGAGAGAGAGAGAGAGAGAGAGAGAGAAAGGCTCTTAGCGAAAAAATGCAACGAGTCCAATGGAGCTTTCATACGTGTCATACGTTTCAGACGTGTCTCCCCTCGAGCCGCTTTATTATTTTGTGCATTTGTATGAAAGACTGTACTCGTATGACCCGATATCTGACACTTTTTTCACCAACTGTTTCTTGAGTGACCCCAGACTGCTCAGTGTTACTGAATATTAATTATTTTTGTTTTCTAGGGACTCAAACAAAACTGGGAGGAACTTCAGAAGCAATACCAAGGACTTCCAATTCTAACCGACACCATTCCAAAGAAAATTAGAAAATCAAAAATAGAATCCGACTTGAAACAGCTCGAAAAAGATATTGTGTTACTTGAAAGACATCCATATATTTACGTTTATGACGACTCTGATACTTCATAAAATTGAAGAGATATGTTGCGATTTAAACTATGTCTGTGATAAACTAGTGTGTGAATTTGAGAATTTGTGAAAGTGATTAATATAATCTGAATGGAAACACAATTTATCATGTAAAGGGTCTTTCATTAAGCATTTTTTTAAGTACAAAACACAAGCACTGCAGTAAAATCCTTAAGAGCGGTGCCTGTGCGAAAGTAGCGATTCACATTGGATATGAATCGCTGGAGATCAAATCCATTTCAAAAAACGTTCTCAGGAAGTTTATTCCACATAAATGCAATTCTCCAGAAGAAAGAGTTCTCAAACAGTGAAGTTCGAGATGTACTAAGTTGAACCTCAAAACGATGAGCAGCCACAGTTCGTCGCGTATTTTTGATATGTACTGCTCTTGCTGGAATCACATATGCCAACTCACTTGAACACTTCTTGTGAAAGCATCTATAGAAGAGAGACCAATCTCCAACCTTCCTTTGATGTTCCAGCCTATCAAGGTTGCACGTGATGCTCGCGTCTCCAATCAGGCGGATGGCTCTTTTCTGGATGGAATCCAGCAACTTCAGGGAATGTTTGGGGGCGGAGCTACATACATGAGAACAGTACTCCAAAGAAGGCCTGATCTGAGCTTCATAAAGCATCAAAAGTTGCTGAGGTGTGTACAGTTTGTTTGGTTCGGAACAGTGTTCCAAGCTTTTGAGAAGCAGCCTTTGCAATTCCAGCGATATGATTGTGTCAAGACATATTGGTGTCCATTTTAACCCACAACAAACTTATCGGAGCAGAAATCGAAATTGTCTGACCTGATATTATATCTGGTCCGGTGACATTTATCTTCTTGGAGAAAACCGATGCCAGGGTTTTTGTGACATTGAATTGAACCTGGTTACTTTCACCCCGATTCGAAATAACCTCTAGATCCTCATTAAGACATGCAACCTCCTGCTGCCAGTGAAAATGTGCCTCCTCAGCCGATGTCCTGGAATCCAAATGGAAGGACGAGACAAGTGTGCTGTCGTCAGCAAAGCAATCTGTCGGATTCTTGTTTTTTTCAATAAGTCGTTGATATACAATAAATAGTAGGTTGGAGACAATATGGATCCCTGGGGAACACCAGCGTTGACGATATTCCTATCTCTAAATTTATATAAAACAAAATTTGTGAGATATCATCGACATTTTTTATTCGTTTGAAATACCTATTGATGCCATTATGTGTGGAATATAACATCGTTCAAATGTCCACCACGCGGCTTCTCTGGGTGGAGCTACTCGGCTTCTCTGGGTGGAGCTCATCCGAAACGTCCAATCTTCCATGACTCATAAATCATGCTGGATTTGATCGATCGCGTGAATTATGTTGGGTTTGAGAACCCATTCGCATACAGCTGCGACTTAAAAAAATTCCACAAGAAAAAGTCTAACGGGGTCAAATCGCACGATCTCGGTGGCCAGTTCACATCACCTACACGTGAGATGACCATGATCCCAAATCGCTCGTGCAGAATATCGAATGTGGCATGAGCTGTGTGGCACGTACCGCCGTCCTGTTGAAACCACATGTCGTTGGTGTCTAGATCATCCAATTCAGGCAAAAAGAAGTTGTCATAGTGTTCGTCGTTGACAGTGATGGAATGGCTAACGACGTTCTCAAAGAAATATTGACCGATAACGCCCCCTAGGTACCCAAAATACACACCAAACAGTATCTTTTTTGGATCTCATGTGGATTGGCATCGTCCCAAGTTCGACAATTTTGTTTGTTCACGTAACCATTCATCCAGAAATTGGCCTCATTGCTGAAGATTATTTTTCGATGAACATTAGGGTCAGTTGCCAACTGCTCCAGAGCCCCTTCAGCGAACAAATCGTTGTCTATGGTCGTTTACATTCAGTTCCTGGGTCAGTTGAATTTTGTACAGGTGCAGGCCCAAAGTATGTCACAAAATTCGCCAAGTTCTGGCCTGCGAAAGGCCGAGTTATTGTGAGCGACGCGAAATCGACTGCTTCGAATTCTCATGCACACCCCAACAGACAGCGGCGATGTTTTCGATAGATCTTGCGTTTCGTCTACGTAAGGGTGTTGATAGATCGTTTACTGAACCAATCACCAGAACAAATATCTCATCAGGGTAAATCTATGTGCTGAAACATTTAGAACGCTACATGCAATATCAAGTGAAACTGGGAGTTTTAATAAAAATGCAGGTGGTGGAAGACCAAAAACTGTAACAACGCCTGAACTAGAAGAAGCTATACTTAATGTGATAGAAGAAGATCCTTCAAATAGTACCAGGAATATTGCACTGCAGCTGTAAGTCTGCCCAAAAACCGTATAGACACTTCTGAAAAAAACCCTCCTATACCCATATGACATTCAGTGGGTCCAAGCTCAACTGCCTCGATATTTTCACCCAAGATTAGTGTTTTGCAGATGGTTGATTCATACGATGGCACACATTTACGGACGAAACAAGTTTTTCACGAGATGCTAGCAACAATTTTCGCTGAACGTTTGGGTAGGAATGATTAGTGACTACTTAATTGGCCAATTTTTTCTACTAGCAAGATTACCAGGTGTATCCTACACGGATTTTTCCGAAATTATTTACCCATTTTGTTAGAAGAAGTGTCGGTACTTGTAAGATACAACATGTGGTTTATGCACGACGGGGCTCCAGCTCATTTTAGTGTTCTTGCTCGTTAGCATTTCGACATCACCCTAATCGCTGGATTGGACGTGAAGGACCTTAAAACTGGCCAGCTTGCAGTCCTGATATGAATACTCTAGATTTCTATTTATGGGGTCATCTGAAGGCTCTTGTTTATAAAACTCCTTTACTAGATGTGAATGAATTGAGGAACCGAATAATTGATAATTGCAATGTCACGAGGAATACTCCAGGTATTTTTGAACGTGTCAGACAATCAATGACAAATCTATTGCAGTGGTGTATTTTATCAGAAGGTGGACATTTTGCTCATTTACTTTGAGTTTGAAATTGTTTATCAAAATTGGGGGTTTGTTCGAGCACCAAACCGCGCACTTTACCCATTTCATGGTTGTCATAACCGTTTTTCCAAGAGGACTATTCGCAATGTTTTGGATAAAATTGAGTTCATTAGTTCAGTAAACGATCTACCAACACCCTTACGTAGACGAAACGCAAGATCTATCGAAAACATCGCCGCTGTCTGTTGGGGTGTGCATGAGAATTCGAGGCAGTCGATTTCGCGTCGCTCACAATAACTCGGCCTTTCGCAGGACAAAACTTGACGAATTTTGCGACATAACTTGAGCCTGCACCTGTACAAAATTCAACTTACCCAGGAACTGAATGTAAACGACCATAGACAACGACGTGTTTGCTGAAGGGGATCTGGAGCAGTTGGCAACTGATCCTAATTTTCATCGAAAAATCATCTTCAGCAATGAGGCCAATTTCTGGATGAATGGTTACGTGAACAATCAAAATTGTCGAACTTCGGACGATACCAATCCACATGAGATCCAAGAGCGTCCAATGCATCCCAAAAAAGGTATTGTTTGGTGTGGACTTTGGGCAGGCGGCGTCATCGGTGCATATTTCTTTGAGAACGACGTTGGCCAGGCCATCACTGTCAACCACGAGCACTATAGCAACATCTTTTTGTCTGAATTGGATGATCCGGACACCAACGACATGTAGTTTCAACAGGACGGCGGTACGTGCCACACACTCATGCCACATTCGATATTCTGCACGAGCGATTTGAAGGCATGGTTATCTCACGTGGAGGTGATGTGAACTGGCCATCGAGATCGTGCGATTTGACCTCGTCAGACTTTTTCCTGTGGGATTTTTTTTAAGTCACCGCTGTATGCGAATGGGTCCTCAAACTCAACATAACCCATGCCATCGATCAAACTCAGCCTGATTTATGCGCCAGAGTCGTGGAAGATTGGACGTTTCAATGATATCTCACAAATTTCGTTTTATTCAAATTTAAAGATAGGAATACCATCCATCAACGCTGGTGTTCCCCAGGGATCCATATTGTCTCCAACCCACTCTTTATTGTATATCAACGACTTATTGGAAAAAAACAAGGATCCAATATATTGCTTTAAAAAAATGACTATTAAAAATAAATCCTTCAAAAAATATATTTTCAATGATTAATGAAGCTTTCTAATTTTCAACCTGAGTAAACTGTTGATAACAAATCGCAGATTTGTTATTTAACAATTATCGTACTTGCAATGTTCCTGTTTAAGAAAAAAAATTGTTAATTAACTAATGCATAAATAACTGGAAAATTACCATAAACATTTTTTGGCCGCGGATTATTGTTCGTTCATTTATCCAGTAGGTGTCTAATAAGTTGAAATGATATTTTTTCATTAACCCTCCGATCAGCGAGAAGGTCCGTACGGACCTTTAACAATAATTGTGAGTTCATAACTTTTTGTTATCATGCGCTAGAAACGTTCAGAAACGACATGCTGAATCGATTAAAATAGGTTTCAATACGATTCAATCACAGGTTTCAAGCCATTTTCGACTCAAACGCAGGTTTGTGTGGACCTTATATATGAGAAAGGGGTTACTGTGGAAAAAACTGTTGAATGTGTATTTGAGCCAGGTACCAGCCACCACTCAGAACCATGTTCACAATCTTGTGAACATGGTTCTGAATAATACTACACGCTACCAGCGTTTGACTGAGGATGAAAAACGTACCGACGATTCAAAATGTCGGGCTTGTATGGAAGCTAAAATGAGCGACAATGATTACCCTTTTGATGACGGCGATAATGACACTGACCTTACGTATTGGCCAGAATAAGATAGGGATGTGTCCGATGTTGAAGTTGAAGGAAAGATAAAAATCGATGTCAATCAATTGCAGCCATTGCTGCTCTTCTTCAGGTTGAGACTGATGCAACTTACAAAAAATGGTACGAAACAGTACAAAGATCCTCCACTGAGCAGTCGTATACGTGCTCATAATATTATCGACTACAAACAAAACAAACTAGGACCATCGAAGAAGATGATTTATGATCCGCTTTCAATGTGTCGTTCTCTGATCACCGAAGATATTGCTCAAATTATCATACGCGAAACAAATTGCAAGGCCAATCAGGT